GTCTTCGCTGACAATAATTCTAGCAAAACCAAATTCTCTCACTTACTACTCATGCCCACACGCTAGCAGACACACAGTCTTCTGCGAGGACTACATTGTAAGTGCACTTAGCTACGTAAGAGCGTACATATTTACAAATACAATAACTGCAATTATAACCGTTTCACACGATTAATTAGTCTGGCAATATAGCTGCAAAAGAACCAAAAAAATATCTTAAAAATATGTATATTTTTTTAATTTATATGTAATTTGTACATATAAACCCTTAAACACAATGCCAGACAGTTAAACATATGGATAGACAGCAAAAACTATAAACCCTGAAGACGTAGGGAGAATCTATCTACTGTACGGGCATAAGCAACTGCTCTACATATGCTTACATGAAAGTACACATATTATGCTTTGTATCTCGTATGTTGTGACTATCTGTGAGTGTGCTAAAGTTAATGTTTGTTAAGGGCTTAAGCTGCATTAAATAGAATACATGCAGCAAGCGTGCATATAAGAAATGTGTAAAAAATTCCAAGACTCAATTGTTGCTCCTGTTTCGAGGTTCATTTTTTTATCTTCTGATTTATCACATTCGCTAAAATTCATGTAAAACATTTCTTACGTTTGCAATTAATGCTTGAAATGAACATTTTTCTCAGCTGAATGAGTTTTTTTCTAAAGATTTTGATTTATTAATAGTGCAGCGGCGTGATAATTACCTTCAAAAGCAAAAAAAATAAGAAAAAAAAATATTCAAAATGCAACTATGCACAAAAATTGTAAGTAGATCACTTAATTACCAGCAAATAAAAGTACCTTTTGGCACGTAAATTTCAGTTACTCAACTACTTTCGAATTGAAAGGCAACTTAAACTATTGTCGATGGGTCTATGAATACGTCAGTCTATGCCGATGAGTACTTGTGCTCGAGATTCACACTCGTAAAATGGCAAAAGGTGATTAAATTAATTAATGCAATGCTGTGGGAATATTTTCAGTTTAATTAATTTTTTTATGCTACATACTTTTTATACTTTTCATACCTTACTTTTTTTTTCCGTACAATTTTTCGTAATACATTTTTTTGTCTTATCTTCCATTTTCATCTGTAATTTTATATAAAATTTTAATTTAAATTAACTTGCAAGTTTCGTTTTTTCATTATTTTCAGTAATTTGCACTGAATTCTTAATTTTGCTTCATCTTCTCCATCTACCCGTATACTTTTTTTACAGTCGCAAATGGCTTTTTGTGCGGATGGTCAACTTTGCGAATTGAAAGTTGAAAAGTCAATTTCTGTTTAGTGGAAATATGAAATACAGTGCAAACTCTGTTGAGTGGACATGGACATTTATCGGAAGCCAGCTCTTGTCCGTTCAAGCGCAGTGCCCAGCCTAAAGAAATGAAGTTCTTACGAAAAATTATGGGAAAACATTTCGTTTTAAAAAATTTTCCACCCAAGTGGAGTATCCTTTTAACAAGGGTGTCGGTTGAAGAGTTTTGATTGAGAAATTAAAAATATTATGAAAATGTTTAAAGCTCAATACACCGCGTACAAAAGTTTGTCATTATCAAAATTAACAAATTAAAATTCACAAATTAAAATTCACAAATTTGCTGAATAAATACTAAAAAACTTGATTAAAAAATAGCATTTATTAATGAATAAAAAATTTTATAAAATAATGCAAGAAGAATTTGTTTAATCGATTCATTCAGACAACACAAATCTTAGCAACTCTGAATTAAGTATATTAATTAATAAGCTACACTGACCTTTTAAATTAGCCATCAATTTTTTGTTTTTACAGAAATATTTTCTGATTTCCTAAATACAGTTTCTTGTCCTCACAGAATGAAAGTTATTATTGAATACAAAAAAAAGTGAATAAATATGACTCACTGAGAGCTTTATTATAAATAAATAGTAATTTTTTGTTCTAATTATAAGATAAAATTCAAACTAAGCAGCACTTTCTAAAAATATGTGTTTGTAGAGAGGACATTTATTGGCAGATATATGCATAGGTTAGATAGCACCTACTCTTTAGCATCAGCTATCTTTAATAGTGTGTTTTTGGAGGTTATTTGGTCAAATTTTCTTATAATTATAAAAAAATAAAAATCAAAATTAGTCTAAAGTCATCATAAAATCAAATCAGCTAACTTTGTGATACTCATTCTTATGCCTACCACACAGAAATACTGTAGTATAAGATGAAATCCAAAGTAAACAGCACTTTCTAAAAATATGTGTTTGTAGAGAGGACACTACCTAAATAGGTATTTGTATACGTATACGTTTATTGGCTATTACATGCATTGGTTAGATAGAACCTACTCTTTAACATCAGCACTCTGTTCAATAGCCATTTTTGTGCCGAAAAACACAAATATATTCTTAATTCCTTCATCTCCTTGTGGAGCATAGGGCCTCAACACAAACATATTGTCTTATCTTATGTTGAACCTTTTCCGAGTTAGTGCATCTTGGCACTTTTACTCTATGATGGCTGTGGGGTTTCTGCAGACTCCCACCCATCTCACTGATTAATTTGTGTATTCCTCATAAGCTTCATAAGCTTATTCAATGACTAGTCTAAGATCTGCGTACCGTCCCGTCCGGTTAGTGATTACTCTGAGATTAGATAGTGCTAAGTAGGGTAGCCTGTTGGTTTGCGCATTACAATAAGGCAGGAATATACATATATAGTAGTACAGTGGTCGGCATATGTCATCTGCTTCTCTTTATGCATTTCTTAATATTTATTAAAATATTTTGTGTTACTTTCTCTTGATTCTCTTAATTAGCAAGTAAGTTCTCTTGGTGGAGATATCGTTAAATATCCATTAAATATTAGCTTAATTGCGTGTTTTTTTGAATTTTTGAACTCTGCTAAATTTAAACTGTGAATTAGCGTGAAAACTCCTAAATACAATGTATACTTAAGAAAAAATAAATGAAATCCCCGAATTGAATAAACCCACTTCCACTTCCAAGAAACGAGTTTCTTGAACCAATCAAAGAAGTTATTGCACTTTAAATGAAACTCTTTGTGTATTGTCTAAATAAATTTGTAATATAATTATCTAAATTTAGATAACAGACTTTAAAACATCACACATCGATATATAGAATTTCTGTTATATAGAAATTTTTAGCAAATTTGAAGGAGTTCACCAGTTCCCCAAAAACAAAATTCAAATGTCAATAATATTTGTTACTACCGCAAATAAATTTGTATAATATATTGAATCCCAATATTGGCATGCCAAAATCGCTACATGATGTGAAGCTGCACTACGTGCTCTGATTAAGAAAACGTACACATACTTACTTGAGTAGCAAGTAAATTATTTTCGCATTCAATGTATCTAAGCAAATTGTACTGTGTATGTGCTCCTTCAACAATACACCGAATTCAATAGAATTTTTCCAGTAACATAAACTTCAAGCTCATCTCAACACATGCACACACATATCTGACTGCACTTCCGCTTCGATCCATGCAGTTCATGTGGTTTGAAATGCATATTTACCGTATGAGTAGCTGTGCACCTTAAAGAGTAGACACGCAGCGCCCTCTTGTTGCAGGAAATTGCTGTATTCAATCACTTAAAACTGCTTACCGATCTGTTAGTGCAACTGATAACAGTGGAAGCACTAACGCACATGCATATTGTTGACACACCCGTCGGTATGAGTACTCTGCGCTTGCAGTCATTAATTTCACGTAATCATTATTTTTTGAGAAGCTCACAAATTTGTTACTTTATTTCAACGAATTTCAACGAATTTTCATTAAAAATCTTCGGTTGAATGCTTGCCAATCTGAAACTGACTTTACAGACTTAACCGACTTTTTTAATATATTTTTATGTTTTCAATAGTTTTTGCATACTGCTACAGGTATTCCGGTATTCATGTTTTGACTACGAAAATTTTCCATCACAGCTTCTGTTCTATGTTCCAGCAGAGTTATAATTTTACCTATGGAACAATGGTCGATACCTTTCGCCTTTGCCGCTCGTGCTACTATTGTACCAGTCAAGCCAAGCCAAACCAAGCAAGCAGCATGTAATACAAAGGGCGGCAAGCTTGAATGGCAGCACTGCCAGAAACAGCACATGTGGCGGAACGAGGAACTATTTTTTATGTTACTACAATTTAATGTTTTTACATAAAAAGCAGACACCACACCAAAAACAAAATTAAAAGGAACCGAATTTTTCCTGCTATTCTTCCTTCATTAAAATATTATCTTTTTTCTGAAATGCGCTCCCCAGTTTTCAATTCGGAAATCAATGCAGGCAGTCATTCCATATATCACCAACGTTAAAACCGATGCGTTACACTGCGTAAGTACGTACTTATGCATGTAATTTTAATAGATTTGCGTACTCATAAGTATGTGAGGCTATATGCGATTGCCAGTGTATGAGGACAAGTATTTATATATATTGTTGGCTCCGTGCATATTTGATTGAATAAACCGGAAATTTCTTCTTCAATTTAAATTCTCTTTTATTTTGAACATCATATTCAATTGCTTGGAACAATGCAACCGCTTGATGTGATGCTGCCATTAAAATACATGTACATGTATGAACTAAAAAAACGAACCCAAATATATCTCAAAAATTTATTATAAAAAAAGTTTTACTATAAAAAACACTGATGAATCGAAGTAGCAATGAAAGGGTCACAAATGCTACAATTCCGGCAAACGAATCATGCTTCATCCATAAAGTACGTGTACACGAAAATAAGTGCATTTATTATGCCCCTCATCAACAATCGTCGATACTTGCTCTTAGCTGAAAGGTTTATAATATTTTAGTATAGCGTTCTTAGCACAACAAAATTCCAACTTAAAATTAATTTTAAGTAAATTTATATTTCGTATTGAACTTGACTGTTTTAAGTTTTTTAAGTTTTTATTTTATTTAAGTAAGATATTTCTGTAATTATACTCATCCTCTTTTCTTATCATCTTTTACAGATGCTCAAACACGTACAAATCTCGCCACTACGCAATCGTTCAGATTCAATTTCGCTGCGTTCAACCACATCGTGCGCTTCTTCAATGTGTGGTAGCCCAGAGCCACCAGCGGATTTGCAGCGTACACCCTCACGTGCTTCCAGCTATTCCAGCTTAAACGAACAATTGCCACAAGTGAGTCAACTAAAAATAGAATAACTTTCTATATATGTCAACAAAAAAATATCTATACTTGGGGTATAGATTGACAAAATTAATTATAAGTTCTCAAACTTTTTTTATATTAAATAAGAATATATAGAGCATATTTAGCTCTATATAACGCCAAATTAGTTAATATATACAACATATATATAACTATATATATACCCTATAAATATATGAAATATGTACTATATATTCAGGTTGAAAATTTTATTAAGTATACTCTTTATATAGTTCATATTTAGATTGAATATTTTGTTAAATATAAATATAAAATCTATATATTTATAAATATATATCGAAATCTATCTACCTATATATTAAAAATACATACAAAACTAAAGATTTAAATTGAAATGTGTGAAAATAAAAATTTTAAAATCACTACAATTGGTATATAATATATATGTATGTGTATATATCACATCATTTATCTTATCTTATCTTAGATATCACTTGTCCTGAATGGGCAGAAGTTGACTAATAATAAATAATATTTATGCAGTGCAATATCTCATTGAGTGGACACTCATTATCAGACAACTTTTGTCAATCCAAGAAAGATAAATTATACTAAAAATTGATGCAAAGTTTGGTTGTAGAGCAATAGTTCTCCGAAGAGTGATGCTTGTCTGAAAAATCTGAAATATGTATTGAAAAATTGATGGTATTCTGAGTAAATAAATAATATTTTTTATTTTCTTGTTGTGGTGAGGAGGTGCAATGTTTTATGTACCGTCAAACCGAGCGTTGTCGGAATGGTGTGCCCGACTTCCTAACATTAATATGTAGTCTACGGACTAAAACACACTCTCTTCAGCGATATAAATAGATAGATAATAATAATAACTATTGAATATATTGTCAATATTAAATTGTTATTATTAATTTATTGAATTGAATTAAAATTATTGTTAATTATAATATTATTATTATTCCATATACCTTATTATACTAACTTTTAATAAACGTGTTTCGTGAATGATCACTCGAAAATCTTCCAGCAATCTATACACTACTTTCAGTTAATATTTATTTCTATTGAAATATGGCTCCAAAAGTGACGTGTATCGTTATGGAGTCACTCGTCAAATTAAAACACCAAATCTTAAAAGCCAGTCTAAAAAGCGGAGCACAGTTATGACAATAAAAAACTTTGTAAACCTTATGAATGTATATAGTTACATTACTTCAATTTAGACGGCGAATATGCCATAGCTGTAAGCTTTATATATATAATATAGTTGTTATAAATTTATATCTAATACATGTTTAAAATGAAGTAAAATAAAGCTAAAACTACTACTATTATTTCAATTTAGAATATATATAACATACATATGTCGGGGGGATCAGTCATGTCAGGTTTTTGACACAAATGCCTCAATACTATTTGCGATCACCAATTGTATTATTCATATCATATGATTTGTGATATGTGATTTTTACATATGATTTTGTGAATTTTTGATTTCAATAACATTATTTGTATGTTATAAATATTAAAAATCATTATGAGTTATTTATGCTAAAAAACAATCTATTTGTACATAATATATGTGTATATATCTATAAATAATATAGGTATATATATATTAAACTATTTTTGTAGTATGTAACACTTAATTACTATAAAGTTATAATTTTTTAATTTCTTCCAGACAACAATCAAAATATTTACCAATTGCCTTAAAATTGATATAGAGTATAAAACGTTGGGTATACAATGGGACACCACAAGTAAAGAGGTTATAACACAGTTATTGAGAAGGTAAATTAATTAAAAAAAAAACCTCTATTTATAAAAGTTTAAGCCACATTTTTTGTTATTACTTCTCCAAAATAGATTAAAAATGCGTCATCGTGATCCACGTTTATTTTATCTAACAATGGAAGTTTTGGTACGTCGCGCGAATGTAAAAAACACACTGGTATTAGACGAAGATACTAGGCCAGCCATACTACAAGCTTGTCATCCAAAGGGCGAATCTAGGTTAGTTGTGAAAAAAATAAATTGAAATTCTTTTAAAATAATTTTAATACTAAAATCTCTTTCGGTACAGATTTTGTTTACAACTAAAACCAGGAGGACTAATACGTGTACATACATCAGCCTTGCAACCAACATCGCAATATAAATCACTGGTCATTTCGGAAGAGACTACGTCTGATGAACTATTGCAATTACTATTGTCATGCTATAATTCTATGGAACCTGTTGAACAGTTTTCCATATATGAGGTGAGTTTAATAAGTGTTCTGGATTATGAAGAGTCACCTTATGGGAATCTGAGTTTTTCATAATTTTAATATAAGATTTCATTATAGTTTATATTATTTTTCAAATCGTGAAAATAATACATTTAACATTTTATACATTTTTTTCTTAAAATTAATATGTTTCTTTGTTTTCAAACGATGAGAATAAGACATATAGTACATATATAGACGTAACGTTTTCTACTAAATTTTAAATTAATAACCTGCTAAATGTTGGATGATTATGGTGTCCTTTGTTTCTTAAACCTTTCCCATGTTACTTCCTATCTCCACGCTACTGATAATTAAAAATAGGCTCGAAATCAGATATTTACTATGAATGTTAAACCCAAACAGTCCCATGTGTTGCATATAAAAATTATTTTAATGAATTCATTTTGTAATAATTTGTAGCTGTAAATACAGTCACTCAGGTAATACTTTCAGATAATTGAAAATATGAAATTTGCTTTAATCAGTACTAAAATAAAAATCTTATTTATAACTTTTTTGGTACTTATTACGTTAGTTGTACTCTATTGCATTTTATCAACAAACCATAACTATAACTTCACGACTCTAACGAAACATAACTGCCCTAGCTCAAATTGAGACAAGTCTAAGTTAAACAGTCCTTTAACACGCATTAACGCATTTATTCATAATGTATTATATTCCTCAATCGATATTTTATTCCGTATAACAATAGCCCAACAGTACTACCAAACTGAAATCGATCGATTTTCAGCACATCCTTATTGATATAATAAGATTCCTGTACCTATACGCAAGATTCTCTTTAGTAAATATCTTCCAAATGATCTCATCTTCACATCCACATCTTCCTTGCGGATTATTATTATAACAACAGCAATATTAAAATTTTCTAGCACTTTCCTGTGTTTTTATTTTTAATTATTTTTGATATTTCTTGAAATATGAGTTTCTGAACATAAAAAACTTTAAATGAATTGTAGTTTAAAAATTAAGAAAAAAATATTTTCTCTGACTTAAATTTAATTTAAAGTCAAAAAAGTTTGGACTGAGTACTGGTTTCATGAGCAGTCGTGTCTACGTCTCGAAGCCACGAGGACCAATGGCTTCTGTCGCGGCGATCAATTGCAGCCCCATTCCCAATTGGGTTATAATAACACATTAAAGCAATACAACAACAAAATTTTATTCTTTTAATTAACCAGATTTTTAGCAGACCATACAACTGTCACACCAGTATTGTGAAATAGCCATCATCAGAGATCTTTGTAAATATTTCTTCTATTTAATTATTCGTGAATATTTTTTTCAGACTCAGAGTCATTAGTCTTTTTTATTATTCCATTAATATTACAACTATCATTATTTTTATTTTTTTTTTTGTAAAGAAAAGAATTAAACTTAATTTAATCTTTAATACGTTTTTTGTACCATGGTTCCAAGGCAGGGTCAGTCTTCTCATTTCCAAGTTTGTGTGCAGCAATTTAGATTTGTGAATAGCACTGCTTTTTTGAATTGTATCATGTATAGTAGGGATTTTCACGTCTTTGTGAATATCATCGTTTGTGATGTACTATCTAGCATATACTATTGCTCGCAGGATTTTTGATTGCAGTCTCGGAATATTATTTATATTTGTCTTACAGGTGGCTTCCCATATTTCAATTCCTTATTTCCAAATCGAAATAACAGTTTTTTTAAATTAGTAATTACTGTTACAGCAATTAATTACTGTTTTTTTTTTCATTCTAGGTTTGCCCTGGTCAGGAGTACCAGCGTAAATTGCATCCCGATGATATACCACTACGCGCACAAGTCGAACGCATGAAACGTGGTGAATCATGCCATTTTCTCGTGAGACGTAATCCGAACTATGCACGTCGCCGCCAATTGTTACCTACATTAAATGACGTAGTTCAAAATTATAGTACTTCAAGCACATCAAATAAGTCATTTGATGCTAATAGCACTTTGTCCTCATTAGATGACACAAATAGTTTACTTGATATGTCTATTGAATCTCTTTCGGATGATCTGCATAGTTTAACAGCTAGTGATGAAGATGAAGATTGTGCCTCCTCGACATCTGGTTCATCTGACACATCGTCAGAGGGCTCAACAACAGTGCGACGCATACCATCCCATTTGTCCATTGTACCAGTAAATGCAGCAACAAATATTTTACATGACAAATGCATGAAATGTCGCAACAATTACAAATCTTGCGAATTTTGTCATAAAAATTCAGCAGTGATGCAATGGCAGCGACAAGCCAAAGCGACAGCGACAGCAACTGCAGCAAGCAAACAATTGCTGCAAATGCGTTTACCAACGTATAATCCGGTTTATAATATACGTGAGATCCGTACAGTATCGCATTCGTTCTCATCGCTCGGCAATGATAAAAAATTGCTCGACATACAATTGAACGGTTGTTTCGATGCGGCAACAGCAACAATGCCCATGCCAGCCAAAGTTGCAACATCATCAAGTCCAACAACTACTCGTATTAGACCACAAAGTGTTTATATGGGTCGCACAACACAACAGGCCATGATTATGGATGATGTAAACAAAAATGTGAATATGAGTGACGTCAACGGCAACAATAATCCAAACACTATTACAAAATGCCTAGCGAAAGCAACAGGCCTGGCTCTAATGACTACAGTTGCCGGTGAAGCTGTTAATAATAATCCAGCAAAGGGTCTAGGACATTTTGTTTATTTATAAGTTCAATTATTCTCATAAGCATTTGATGATACACTGTAAAAATTTATTGTATATGTCCTTTGAAAAAAGATGCGTACTACAACATTTGTGTTATTGCAAATAGTTTCAACTTTAATTTAATAAAGAGAATTTAAATTCTTGCATATTAATAAGATCTAACTAATCCGAGAGATAAAACAGTAATTTATGGATTACTGTCATTTGTAAATGACTTCAAAGTGAATATAAAAAACTTTTTAAAATATTTGAGATTCGAATTCATTAAAATATCAATACCAATTACCAAAAATATAATTAAACCCCTATTAAAAAATTATACATACATACATATATATGTCTGTAAAATAATTTGTACATTTTGTTAGTAAGACTTATAAATTAAGTCTTTGTTGAATTACTTAATTGCAAACATTTAAAGTTTTTCTAATTTGTTGATAGCAAAATCGTTTCGATATTAAACGTTTCATAATTAAATTAAAAATTGAAATTACACAAGAAATTAACAAATTTTTACTCTCGAATATGTTGCAAATTTTTCTAAGAATTATATTCTATAATTAAATGATTTTATAACTTAAAGGAACTATTTCATAGACATCATAGTGATGATAATACTTGTAATAATCACATACAAAAAATTCCGAACTGTGTAGAAAATCATGTTCGAAACTCTTCAGCAATAATATTTAGTTTTTGTTTGATGATACACAAAAATATATATAATTTATAAATGAATATAAAATTAATATGAACCTATTTTTTTAAATAAACACTTACAACATATTGCTGTATCTCAGTAGTAACTTGGAAAGCACCGCCTAATGCATATGCTGAAAATTTTGGGTTTTTTAAATCCAAAATATATTATTTTAATTATTTTAATATGAATTAAGTAATTAAATTTTTTTTTTATTCATAATTAATTTTTATATTGCTTGTTCTCCGAAAGTTTATATAAAATTATAATATTATTGTAATATTTTCGGTCAAATATTTTGTTGCTCAATTATTTGTTTTGATTTTTTATATTAATTCGTTTAATTTATATAGCATATAATATTATTATAGAAAAAAGATTAAATAATTTTATTATATAAATTCACATTTTGTAGTGACAACCCAACCAAACCAAAGAGCTCTTAACACAAAATGACAATTAGTTGATACATTTTTTTTTATTTAATTGTAATTTTTTATTTACTTGGATAAATAGTTTTGGTTTAAATGCACTTTAAAAAACAAAAACATTTATTGCTTTAAAATATTTAATATGAAATATAATTATACTATAAATAAAGCATATATGTAATGCAAATTGCTTTTTGTAAAAAACTATCTTTATTTTGTTATTAAAAATTTATTGAATATTGCAAATTATCTTATATAAAATATCAGAAATGACGCGACGCATTCTTACTAAAAATACAAAGGCACTTACCACACAAGATTACGAATAAGTTATAATATATATATATGTATATATATATTTACATGTTTATAAATATATATATTTTTACTTAATTATATTTGAAATAATATTCTGCACGCTTTACATATATGTTTGCCTTAAATATGTCCACAAAATTGATTGAAAATATGTAATTGAAACTGTAAAGTATTTGTCAAAGCACAGACAGATAGTAAGCATAATTCCAGAGTCTATAGTTTGTAGTACATTTAATAATAATGCAAATTCCTTACACTTAAACAATTCAAAAATATTTAATAATATTTAATCTCTTATATATCTGGCCTAATTGCTGTGAAATTTCTTTCAACAATTTATATAAATGATTTTCAAGATAAATAAACTAACGATTTTCATAAACTGAAATTGTGTTTCTTTACTTTAATTATTTTTACAAAATAATTTTTATAAAATAATTGAAATTTAAATTTTAAACAAATGGTAAAATAAGTTTTAATAATTTTAACTTATTACAACAAATTGGCTTATATTTTAATCCAGTATTTTTACAAAAACAAAAATCACGCTCTACAAATGTCTTATCATGTTTGATCTGCTGTATGGTGCAGAGGCTTGGACAATTACCAACAGTGTTGAGAAGGCGTTTGGAGCATTCGAGAGAAAAATTCTTCGGAAGATCTATGGTCCCTTACGCGTTGGCGACGACTATCGAATTGGATGGAACGATAAGCTGTATAAGCTACACCAATTTAAATTAAATTATTGATAAAAGATTATAATAACACGCATCTTACTGTTCCAGAAACTGCTATAGATTCGCCACCGATAATGTTTCTTAAAAAGTTTTACTTTAAATGCTGCATAACATTAAAAATATTGGCAGCTATATCAGTGATCCCAACGACAAACCAGTGGCCATTAAGTACATTTTGGAGATTAAAAAATTATTTCAAATACACTTTTCAATATTCATAGAGAAGAATAGGTGTAACACCAAAGGAGGTCAAAATTCAAACTGATTTCCTTTGTTTTACAGGCAAAAATTTATTTCTAAAGCCTTCTCTCCATCCCATTTCAAAGTCCTGGGGAAGTTTATGGTGTAAATAAAAGTTTTCTAATAGAAAACTTAAAGATGATACAAAGATTATGTAAGGTAGTATTAAATAAAAAGAATAGCCGGCTCTTACTTGAAAACTTTGGAAACAGACAGAGTTAAGTCCTGTAAAAACTGTTAAGTTTAGAATTACAATGATTTCACATCTCAATATGTTATGTGACTGTTGTAGCCCTGAATGAACCTTTTGAAATCTTTCGGGGTTAAACTGTAACAGTAGTGTAACTGGATGGAAATTTTCACCTACATAAACATGCACTAAAGATAATAACAACACGAACTAAAACACATCAATACAATACAGATTTTTCATAAAACAATACATCTTTTTATATATTTACTAGATAACCCGACAAACGTTGTTTTGCCTTATAAATTATTTCTAGTTTCTAGATAAATTCTAGTGTAGACAAAAAGTAACTTACTTATTATAAGTGTGTAAGTATGTGGTATATGCATGACATAGGCATGGAGCGCTATGAACGAAAAGGAAAATAAAAATAACAAACGCTAAACAATATTATTTTTAAGTTATTATAGTTCATTTATTAAATTATTAATTTAAAATCAATAGATTTGTATGATACCAAGTTCCCTGGCAACACCTGTTGTATCTTCAAATTTAAATTGTCTTGGATTGACTGTAAATAATAATAATGATAATGCGCCAGTAACATAAACCAACAACAGTCGAAGATAAAAGCACTCAGTGTGTCTTGGATTAACTGTAAATAAGCGTTCGATTTAAATAAATTGAGACATTCATCAACTGGTGAAACTTGCTTGCGGGGCATCCATTTTTTTGTTTGAGCCCATGTGAAATAGCGTGGTACTTGTGAATAGAGTAATGTTCTTGCAAAGGCACCAAAATCATCCGTACTATTACACAATTCAAAAAATGCAGTGAGTGTAGATTTAGGTGGATTTGTACCACGATCAATCACTGTCTCGGTCGTGAAAAATTCACGCTGACCGTTTTCAAGATGGACGGCTAACTGAACAGCTGCTGGATCCCGTTCATGAATTAGAAAACCGAAGATATGCCAAGCAGCTTCATTGGAGCTGATGTACCGACCAATTTGGTAGAACGTAATTTCACCGTTTTTGTTCATTGGAGGAGCATTTACATTAGTATTTTCTACTCTAAACACAGCCATATCACTGCCTTTATGGACATACTTATATATTTGATGCTCTTCACAGAACTGCAAAACTCAACATTTATATGAGCATTGTATGTCTTGCTTAGCAGAGGCGAATACGGCACCACCCGCCATTGTTCCCCATAATCGGGATTTTTTCGACGATATATTGGATATCCGTCGGTATTTGTTATAGTATCATTAGTGAAATCTTTATATAAACAAAATTTATGTCAAAAAAACAAAAAATTTTTTGTTAAAGCAATAAGGATATTTTTGCTGGGTAGGGACACCCTAATCACTTTAGCGGTATGAAAAATAGATAGTAGCCGATTCTCAGACCTACTGAATACGCATATAAAATTTGGTAAAAATCGGTAAAGCCGTTTCGGAGGAGTACGGGAACTAACATTGTGACATGGAAATTTTATATATAAGACCGCAAACAGACATCGTTTGGCGTTGTGGCTTATTGATGGTCTTTGCAAATGCCAATCTAATAGGAAATTGAACTTGTTTGAATTAAATTGGCTTGTCTGTGAGAATCATTGGAATTCGTGGCAATAAAACTTTTACGTTTTGGAACTTGCCATTCAAAATGGTGGCTTCGATAATGTTTTTCATCAATTTTTTAATTACCAATCGTGTACTATTGCATAGCCGTGGTGGGTTCAAATTCCGAAGTAATATAATCGGTGACCCAACTTTCAGTCGTAAAATGTGTGGTGGCATGCCTGGCAAATCTAGTGAGTTTAAAAACTCTGCTGGATAGTTCACAACTTCGTTGGTATCACAAACTGTATCGATCGATTTGTATGATATTAAGTCGCCTGGCAATGTCTGTTTTATCTTGAAGTTTCATTCATCAACGTCCACGTTTTTTTGCTGCTAATGGCTCTTTCTGCCAGCCACCATGATTTATGTATTGTATGTGTACATCTGGAAATACGCGGTCAATGAGAGCATTTTGGGAATCAACGATAGTGCAGAAATTAGGGGGCAGTTTTATGAATTCAGTATTTTCATAGACAACAACTTTTCATATCATAGCAAGTTTTCTTTTTCAAAAATATAAAAAAATTTATGTCAAAAAAATAAAAAAATTTTTGTTAAAGCAATAAAGATATTTTTGCTGGATAGGGACACCCTAATCACTTTAGCGGTATGAAAAATAGATAGTAGCCGATTCCCAGACCTACTGAATACGCATATAAAATTTGGTAAAAATCGGTAAAGCCGTTTCGGAGGAGTACGGTAACTAACATTTTGACAATGTTAATTTTATATATAAGATATTTAAGTTTGAAAAAAGAACATTCACTGAGCAGAAGTACTCAGCGAAGGAATAATTATATGGAAGTACCAAGATACGAGAGGTCATTTAACGTCGACAATATCTGTTGTAATTCCCTATAGATAAACCAGAAACACAAGAGCCACCGAAGAAAGTCAAGCAATCCCGCACAAAGGATTTATATTTAGGACATCTCTATCTTTTATAAATAAATTCTTTAAATAACATACATATTTTGTTTTTGTTTACATGTTTGTTTCATTGTTTATAATAATATACGTAATTATACTTATATATATTATACTTAATTAACTTAATTAACTATACTTAATAAAGAAGTATAAATAAAAGAAATTTAAAAGGAAATGTAATTTTGAGTATTTTGGTCAAAATTCATAAATTTATTGTGACGATTTTGGAAAGGCTGACGATACGCTAGCACTAGCCGTTACAAGTGTAGCGAGGGAAATATCATGTACCGGACACCACTCGCAGATGGGCGCCAAATGCTTCTCAAGCTAAATAAAATTTTCTGAAAATTCAATTTTTTTTTAATCTATTACTGGAAAATGTATTTTAAAATAGCTCGACCTTCATGTCGAGGTTACCTTGATTGGGACTTTACTTCTTCCGTAGTATCAAGAGATCCGATTCTGTGTTGAGCAGAAATGAAGTTGACGTTCCCGAATCTTATACAGTGAAATAAGTTAGCGCTGTCTACTAATCGACTGGGCGTTGATTGAGACGTGCTAAGTTTCTTGCCTTTGCGATTTTTGTAAAGGCACATCGCTGGAGGAACTCACGAGCATGCACTCTAAACTGCAATGAAACCAGCAACAATCAGAGTGGGATAAGTTTTAAAAACTACTATCATAAGTTTGCGAAAATATTTAAATTTATCTCAAGTACAGATTACAGACAAATTACAGATACAGATAGTCAAAAAGCTGTAATAGTAATCGTATAATTAAAATTGGAAAACACTAACAATAATAATAAACACTAATAATGCTCACAGACCAGTTGCTTAGCACCACTTCTCTCTCGCCATATCATTGATACAGTACAATGTGCAGAGACATCTAACCAAGGATATAGATTATGCTGAATTCTAAGATGCTGCATATTTATGCCAAATGCTCTGGAAACTATAATACATATTCTGTAATGAATTTTATAATGAAGTCACATCTTAAGTTATCCTTCTACCCTTACAGCTTACAGCTATAAAAGAATGAAGCGAAATGATAGTTCCACGGTGAGGTTTTTGTGGGTGCCGTCAATTATTTCCGATGATGTAAATTTCTGTTTTCTCTTAAACTTCTTGTTATTGAATTTATCATTTATTATTAAAAACCTATTAACTTAATATCTGTTAATGAATATATTAAGTAGTGTTCTAATTTTTGTTTAATTTTTAGATGCTTAAAGTTCAAAAAAATACATGATTAAAAAACATATTTCTTATCAATAAAAAAGGTGTTTAAAAATTGCAGTTGTTTCATTCGATACTTCATTATCTGCTTCAAACGCAAGAAACCACGTGCGTTTCTTGAAAGTAGAATTTTAACGACCAATGAAACCTGAAACATTAATGGCAATGCTTGCGTCAGCCAAAATCAAGGAATGACATACATATGTCAAATGTATTTCAAAACTTTCCCAGGAAATTTTTATTTATTTATTTACTTGATTTATTATTATAAATACTACAAAACCCATTACTACTATATTAACATATTTTTTATGGCGACATATGTTAGGTGGGAAGTGACTGTAGCTCAGAAGCTTGATCAGTAATTTTGAGTTGAGTTCGGAGCGCGGAAGCTTAACAAGTGAAAAAATTTTTTTAAACTTTAATTTAACATCTTACATATAAATTGTAAATATTGTGATAAGTCGTAATTATGTTAATCATTGATAAGAAATAAATTATATTAGGTAGGTCGTGAAAATAACCTGTGAAAATTAACTTGCCTTCATCAAACCAATAATCTCTATTTGAACTAAAATATTGTTAGACATGTCATTCTAACCACATGACAAGTTGCACATAAATCTTGAAAATTTATGGTATATGTCGAAGCACGAACTGGTAAGAAAATACTATTTTAAATAACCCAATTAAAATCCTTAATACTCTATCGATCCTTAACATCACGCTCAAGTTCACATCGAAATCCATCGTTGACAAAATTAACATAAACCACTTGAGTAAAATGTTGAGCTACACCTTGTTAACTTATCCCTTAACTTTACTCACTATTCGCATTTACAACATTTTATATATTTTTTACACATATAGTATACTGTTGATAGATAATATGTATATTTCAAGTTGCTGATCAATTTTAGTAGCCTCGCAATTACTGATCTCGATATATGAAACTCGATTGTGTCGTGAAGTAAATACAAGTTTTGTTATTACTTTCATTTCGCATTAATCTGATAATATTCAAGTAAGAAAGCCGTTTACGTATCAATTACTTTAAAATGAATTGAAGTAACTGAGTTAATGATTTTATCATGAATACTTAATGTTTATTAGTCATCTATCATAATGGACTTATCTCCAACAACAACTGATGATCTTCCTACTGATTGTTCAACAAGTAAAGTGGAAATTTCATCAACTACACAAAATAATAACTCAACAATGTTGGAACCACCGTTTTATTGTTTCGAAACCAACTACGAAACCTTCCGAGAACACTTGAATGGTGAGCTGAATATTTCCACTTTATAGTATAGCAACTCCAGAAAGCTTAAACTGAGTGAATAAAACTTTTGGTTCTTTAAGGTACTTATCATTTAACAGGAGATCAGGATCTCATAACTTACACAGGATTACATGACACATTGACCCATTTTAGAAATACTAGAATCAACGAATCATTATCTTCATACTTAAGTAATATTTTGGAAGTAGCTGAAACCACAACTGTGAGTATTTTCTTGTAAATATTGGTTTCTTGCACAAATCGATTAATCCAATAACACTGGCTGACCAAAACATTTACAATACCAAGCATAAAATTCCTAATTCTTAACTAAATCCCATTTTTGAGATATATATAAAATCCATTGAAACCGACTGAACATTGAAAAAGATTTTAATCAGCTGTTGTGGATGAATTTTTAAACAAATCTTGATGAAAAACCCTTAATCTTAAGAGTTCTTAAAAGTTTAAACATTTTTAATTGGTTTGCAAAACTCTGAAGTAAATTTTCGAAATTTTACGAAAGGTTTTTCATTCTTCCTTCGGCTTAGGACATGTGAAGCAAAAACCACAGCAAACATGAATTTTACATTTGAGAATAATATTGAGAGAACAACACATACATATAAAAACATATTCTGCTAAATGAAATTGCAAATACCAAGGCTTTATTTTTTATAAATAAAGAAATTTTTAAATAAAATACTTCAATTTTACGTTCTGTTATTCTTCTTGGAGATTATGGTTCCTATATACTGGACTGAATTATACTGGTGTTTTCTTGTTTGGAGCACCCGAAGTCGTGCTTAAGTTTGTTTCTTTCGATATTGTGACTTTCTCTTGGTTCGGGAAAATATTTGTGGCTTGTTTGCATTTTTTATTTTTTATTATAAATAAATTATTTACAAAATTGATATTATAATTACTAATTATATTTACACGATATTTAACATTATACATTCAACATTGTATTATGTTATTATTATGCTTGTCAAAACTACGATGCTATGCTTCTTTTTCTATTTTGGTCGTTCTTCTATTAAGTTGGTTGTTGTGCCAATTGAAATTGTTTTTGATACTAGATGGCACTGGAGTAAGTGTTGCGGATTCGCCACAGTACTCCTCCCTTAGTAGCTAGACCAATGGACTTGCTTACTGATTGCTTAGTGGGCAACGCTACTCTAACTGGTCTTTTAACTCAAAAGTTACTTTCTTTGTTGCTCGGGTCAGTTGTTTTTTCTTCGTGGGTTCGCCGCTTACATCCATTTCGATGAAACTGACCTCACCATGGGCTAGAAGAATGCCGGTTTTAATCTGTTTATTGCTAGGTTTTCTAGGTTTTCGCGTACGTCAACTGTGAAAAGCATATGATTGATTCTTTTAATTATTTTGTATGGTCCAATATACGGTGGTTCTAATGGTTTCTTTAGATGATCTGCTCTTACAAACACATGGGACGCACTATCCAACACCATGTGAACGGAAACAGCTCTGATTGAATGAGTGGAAGTCGGAGTTGGTTTAACTTGTCGTATATGCTCACATAATGTTTTTAGGAATTTTTGTATAGGCGTCCGTTTATACGCATTCTTACGGTAGGCGCAGTGCTGTACCATACACTATTTCTGCTGCTGATGCGTTGATGTCTTCTTTGACACAGGATCGAAGTTCTAACAAAACTGATGGTAATAATCATATGCATGTGTTCTAATCTCGTGCCATGAGTGCTGTCTTCAAAGTGCGATGAAATCCCATTTGATTCCGAGTTCTACGGAGATATGCGTATTTTCTCTGTGTAAGCAGTTTGTTAACATGTTGAACAGCGTCGATTTAATTTGAGTTCCCTGGTCAGTTGTTACTGTTTTGGGAGACCCAAATTGCAATATCCAAGTTGCATAACAACTTTCTGCGACTGTGTCAGCGGTGATATCTTTGAATGGAATGATCTCTGGCTATCGTGTAAATCTGTCTATCATAATTAGTACATATCTATAACCATAGCACTCTGGAAGTATTATTAAATCCAAATGCACATGACCGAATCGTTGATCTAACTGCGGAGGGAGTTTGTTGTGTCTGCTTATATTTGTTTGTTAACAATTTTGGCATGATCGCACCCAGTTCGCAACATCTTTGCGGATTGACACCCACACATACTTACTACATAAAAATTCAGTTGCTGAATTCACACCTGCATGTGCTAAGAAGTGTACTGCATCAAATGCTTTGTAGAGCAATTTTTTTTTTATTTTTTATTACTACGACGAGTAGCTTGAATCTAATCAATACTATATGTTACAAGCATAAATAAGCAATTTTCTACACAAATTATTTTACATTCTAACTTAATGCCATGTCAGCGACATTTCGTCGTTTTAGTCGTCTTTGTTGTCCATACGAGGTTATGATGTTAACAGCTTCTGTGCTAACATGTTGCTGCAACCTCAGTTTATGACTTGTTGCTTTCTTTTTTATTTCTTCAGCGACTGTGGACAATTTTAAATCGCGGTGTATATCGCTGTTCCTAAATGTACCATGGCACTTTTAAAATGAACCTTGATCTGGAAACGTTGGGTTATTTCGATGTTACTTTGGCTAGCGCTCCCCCATAGTTCAGCGCCATATGACCATACAGATTTTAAAATTTGATTGTATAGCAGAATCTTGTTTTGCATAGTTAGTGTGGACTTGCTGCCAATCAGCCATTCCATTTTTCGCAACTTCGTATCAAGCTCGTCTTTTTTCTTTTTTATGTGTTCCTTCCAGCGAAGTTTTGCGTCCAATGTTATACCAAGATATTTTGCAGTGTTGGCATATGGTATCTGAATACCTTGAATCGAAATTGAAAAGTACTGTATTTTTTTATTTGTAAAATCCACATGAACCGATTTAGCAGAATTCAGTTTGGTACGCCATCTTTTTGTCCAATTGCCTAACGAATCTGTAGCTGTTTGTAATTTGATTATTGATTCTTCAACGGAGTCAGTAATCGCCAAAATAACAGAATCATCAGAAAATGTTGCAAATTTACTTTCAGTTGTTATTGGCAAGTCCACTGAGTAAAGCAGGTATAGTAGTGGACCGAGTACACTCGCCTGAGGTACACCAGCTTTTATCGCGGATAGATTTGAGTAACAGTTTTGATGTTTCACATAAAAAACCTCGTGGTAATGTAAGATTTCACAATCGCAAAACATGACGACGGCAAATATGTTTCTAGTTTATTCAGAAGACCTTTGTACCAGACTTTGTCGAAAGCCTGTGCGACATCGAAGAATACAACAGAACATACTTTTACCTTCAGCAGCCCTTTCAATTTCATCGATAATGCGGTGTACTTGATCTATAGTCCAATGCTTGCCATGAAAACCAAATTGGTAATTTGGTATTAGCTTTCCGGATTTTATTATAGGCATTACTCTTGTAGAATAACTTTTCAAAGAGCTTCGAAATGGTTGGTAAAATTGAAATTGGTCTATATGACGATATCCTAGCGGCTTGCCTACTTTTAGTAACATTTTCACCTCTGTGATCTTCTATAGGCTCGAAATATATTTAAGATTTATTACTGCATTGAATTGCATTAACAATTTGCGAACAGCTTTATCTGGTAACTGCTTTAAAACTTCGAATGTTATAAGGTCAAAGCCAGGCGCCTTTTTATTTTTCAAATCTTTTATTGCTGATTTTAATTCGCGCTTTGTTATTCGATCGATTTGCTGGTTTCTACTTTCTGTGGCAATCAGTAATTCATTACACTGTACATCATTAGGCTGAAATATGTTTGTCAGGTTATTTGCGAAAGCTTCGGTTTTTCCTCATTGCTTCTAGCCCATTTTCTATTGCTGTATTTGAATGTTGGTGTGAAGGTAATGGGTTTCTTTAAGTATTTTGTCGATTTTCCGATTTTTTGTCAACTCCAAGTGATGAAATATAATTTTTTACTGACTCATTTTTGATAAGACGAAGCTCAGTTTTTAAACGTTTAGTAACTTCTTAATAAAGAATGCATTTATCTAGAGGAGATCGAGTTTGATGCCATCTTTTTCTAAGTTTCCTCTTTTCATTTATTAGACTCATAATTTTCCTTGGATAGTTCTTCCCTACAGTTTTTCTTTTATATTCAAGGATACCGTTCCAAGCTCCTTTTTGAATTTGCTTAATGAACTGATCGTAGTGTCTTTCAAGTTCATCACAAGTGCTCAGTGGAGTTGAGAGGTTTACACTGTTTTTAAGCAATGCTTTAAAAAGGGTCCAATCTGTAGATTTATTAGTTAGTTATGGACCGGGATTTTTCGTTATGATCGTATCAATTTAAGTTAAATATATTGGCGAATGGTCGGAGTGCAGATTTAAGCCTAGCTTGATTTCCATGAAGTTTGATGATATTTTTTTTGTGAGAAACAAATCTATAAGGTCAAGCAATTTATTTGGATCGGTCGGTCAATAAGTTAGTTTTTCTGGTGATATGAATTCGCATCCCGTTTCTATTGCAGCCCTATACAGTTTTCTTCCCTTTGTTGTTGTGACAGTTGTTGTTTGAAACATTTAAGTACTACATTTGTTTTCGTTATAATGACCTATGCTTTTTCGAACAATTCTTGCGCAATGATGACGAAATATACGGTCTGATAATACCTGTGAACACGTCATAAAATGCTGGCATGTTAAGTTGTAACGAAAGTTTCTGCAACTGTAGTGCTGAATTTGATCCTCATAATTGTTTTAGCACTTTGTTTGTTTTTTGATCCTTGCTAATCGTCTCCCTCTCTAACATAGGGTTTTATGTTATTGGAGTTTTGTCATTCTTTGTTGAGCTTTTTGGAAGTTCATTTAGTGAAGTTTGCAATTTAGCTGATTGCGGAATGCACTTATGGTGATAATTAAAAATTCCTCGAAAATGCCGAATTTCTGAGCATTATTTAACCCGAAAGGCATTACTATAAATCCGAACAAACCAATGGGTGTGCTCACAGCGATTTTGCATTTGTTTTCAGCTAACATTGGTATGTGTAGTATGCTCTGTGGATGTTGATTTTTGAGAAGAATTTGCCGTTTGTAGGAATGTCGACAAAAATGTTATTTTGTCTGTATCGACATCAGTTTTTTCCGTAGCTAAAATATGCTTCGAATTTGATATTAAAATTATTAAATACGTTTACACGATATTTAATATTATACATTCAACATTATATTATGTTGTCATGATGCTTGTCAAAACCGCAATGCTATGCTTCTTCC